CCATCTCGTCTTAGTATCGCTTAGTTTGTTTGACAAATAATAAATTGGCTTTTCATTTTTAACCCCATGAATAACTTCATCTCGATCATCTGTTTCTTGAGCCAAGCACGCCCCTATCGCTTTGTCAGAAGCATACGTATACAAAATGTATTCTTTGTTCAAATCTGGATAAGCCAGCAATGGAATCACGGTTAATTAAACTTTCTTTCAAGTAATCAAACGCTCTTTGAGACATTTCATTCCATTTGAATTTTGCATACTTTTTCGTTAAGTCAATAAGTGGTTCGGCTATTTTAGAAAAGTTTGGTATGAACCGTCTGTAATAGCTACATATCCCTACAAAACTTCTCACATCTTTAACACAGTTTGGAACTGGTACATGCGGAATAGCTTTAACTTTTTCTTCATCTGTAACTTTTTCTTCATCCGGTTTAATTCCGTTCTTATTAATAACAAAACCTAAATATTTTGTTTCATCTTTTAGAAAATTGCATTTTTTCAACTTTAATTTCAGCCCATTTTCCTAAGCCTATTGAACACATTCTGAGTATGTTTTATGTGATCTTGTAATGTAGCAGAATAGATCAAAACATCATCAAGATAAGCGGTAGCATAGTGTTCATAACCTTGAAGAGCCTCACTCATTAATTGTGAAAAGATCTGTGGAGCATTACATAACCCAAATGGCATCACATTAAATTCAAATAAGCCCCTGTGACAAGTAAATGCTGTTTTTTCTTTGTCGGCTTCATCCATTGCAACTTGCCAATAACCGGATTTAAGGTCTAAACTTGAAAAATACTTAGCATTTCCCAAAGTAGCTAAGATATCATCAATCAAAGGCAAAGGATACGAATTCAATTTAGTTATTTTATTCAGTTGCTGAAATCAGCACAAAATCTTTTCGACCCGTCCTTTTTGTCTACAACAACAATCGGAAAACTCAACGGATTTTGACCTTCGAATGACATCGGCACTTAACATTTCATCTACTGCTTTTTCGACAATTTGGCGTTTATTTAATGGAACTCTGTATGGCCGCAGTTTAATTGGTTTATGATTTCCCGTGTCAATTTTCATTTTTACTGTGCTTGTTTGACCCAATTCACTGGCGGATTTAAGGGGGGCGTGGGGGGCGCACGCCCCCCCCCCCCTAAAATTTTCAAAGTATGACATGACCAATATTAATAATGTGATACTTTGGTTTTATAATTAATGGTCAATTAAAAAATGGTAATTTTATTTAATGACCAAGTATCGGTTTTCTTAAAAATCAAGTCTGAAAACCTTGCATTCCATAGGGCTAAGGCTATGAATATTATCTCATAATTATTCAAACCGGAAAACGTCTGACTCCCGATTTCGTTTGAAGAGTAGACTGCACTTGTCTATTTCCTATGATGATGCAAGAAAAGAAACATCAATATTTAAAGGCTGGTCGAAGGTAAATAAATGAATTTAAAATCAGACGGTCTACGTTACAAACCCGTCCACTGATTGATGTATCTATTTATTAAATGGTGTAACTATGCAGTAATTTACTTACATAGATACAAGACTTTTTTCATCACACACACATATCATAATCTTTCCATATAAATGGAATTTAACGTCAGGATATAGATCTAGGTTAGGATGGTGTAACTTCGACCACCTGGTTAATTTCGACCGTTCATAAATACCTTAAAATAATTTGTTTATAACCCATTATAGTGTACGTACATCTATTTTATGCAGAAAGAAAATGCATATACAAATCAATGTCGATAATAATAGGCGAAATTTATTTCTTCACTGGAAAATTACATCCAAGAAGAAACTTTATCGCCCGAAAAATTACGGACGAGTATTTTTAAACCATTGCGGGGAAATATCAGTTGATCACCTCTGAAAATATCTTGAATATACAGAAAGACACAGTAGATATTCCTGGCGTGAAATTTATCAACTATGTTTAATTTTGCAATTTAAATTCATACCTTTTTAATTTATAGTATTTAGTTTTTACAAATAAAATGCAAATCAGCTGAACAGAAATCGGCCGAAGTTACCCATGCATGAATACGGCGTCAGCGGGTAACTCAGTCCGACCATGCAATGAAAATGATGCAATGCTATTTGTTACCAGAAAAAAATCATTATCACCGTCCGTAAAAAAAAAATTATTAGGATAATTAAGTATTATGTACAAGAATACTCCGTAGAAACTAGTTCTATTATAATAACAGTGAAAAAATCATCTGTTCTGTTTACATGCGATTTAGATGCCTGCGCATATATATACATTTGTAGCATGCCTTGACAAATCGGTAAATCAGTCTCTAGGCACCTGGTGCACTTAATGTCTTCAGATTTTTTCACAATCTTTTATGTTTACAACAGAATAATTTAAATTAATATATATATATATATATATATATATATATATATATATATATATATATATATATATATATATATATAAATTAGTCTAGAGATGACGCGAATAATTTCGTTTATATTTTTGCACATCGATCAAAAATACCTGTGTGCGGTCGAAGTTACCCAACACACATTTCTTGTAAATCGAACACATTTATTTTATATCATGACGAATAATACATAGGCCCCCTATAATACAATGTAATCTGAACAATAAAAGGTATTCCGAAGGAAAAAGGATCCAGTAAAAGTTGAGCGTAATACATGTAATAGGCAGTGAAATACTTGAACAAATCTGAATATAAAAAAAAAAATAATTGGTCGAAATTACACCACCCTACCCTACAGTGTATCTCATTCTGTCATATATGTATAATACTTATAAAAACAAACGTTGCAATATTTAATTTTTCAATATTCAGATATTCTTTGTGTATCATTGTGCTTCGTTTATTTCATACTGCTATAAACGGAACTGCACGTTACAGCGTGTTTGTTTATTTTGTTTCCTTGGCTGCGGTGGAGATACATGTGTATGGAATCTGAAAAAAACTTTTTGAAATAACATTAGAGTTACTTACAAATATCAGGTTGACTAGCATTCTTGCTGAAATAACAATGATTCAGAACGATTTCTAAGGTACACTAAGTTCGGAGATTCACGAAGTTCGGAGACACACAAAGTTTCTGCTTTCTCAAGAGTAAATTTAAAATAAAAATTATCGAATGATTAATAAATTTGTACATTATTCTTAAGCAGACGTGAAATTCCTACAAAGACTTTAGAGTATTGTAAGTTACAAACTAAATTCATATCTTATAGGCTTTTGTGTAAAGGAAGTAAGCACCAAGGGGAAATAGTAGATGGCGGAAGTCAATGCTGCTGTATCGCTTTGGCATACCTGTCTTCGGACACACCGAACACATCAGCCGATGTTGATCATATTTTACATCTGGGGACATCACTTTATCGACGACTTTGTCATCATGGGGGATATATGCTCATTCAAGAGCTGGGGGGAGAAATGGAGATCAGAGGAAGAAAGCTGCTAGTATCTTTGGGAAACCCTAAGTGCGGCACTATTATGCAGAAACAAGACAACAATGATGCGCTCGGTTTTACCTTAGAAACAGCTCTAGCACAGGTTTTAGGCGAATCAAGCACATTCTTTTTAACCATCGGAAATACACCAGGGTCAACTATCGGAGTGAAACATCAGATGACGAATTTTATAGTTCTGGATTCACATAGCAGAGATGACAAAGGAATGTGTTGCCCCAATGGAAAAGCCGTCGTAATGAAGCTTGAACGTATCTCCAACTTCGTTAAATATGTCCGTGAGATGGCCCAGTCTTTGTCTTCAAATGACATGCAGTTCAAAATAACGGCTGGATTCTTCCACAACAGGTCTAATGACTCTTCAGCACAAACACGAGCAGCAGTTTCGTCTCTTGAATCATCTACTCAACCGGAAACTGATTCAGTGGCGTCCGTCTCTCACGTCCGTGAACCATCAGAGTCTACTACGGGAACGACATCGACAAATCACCCCGTATCCACTACAGCCTCTAGCGAGAACCCTTCCCTTTTCAGTTTTCTAGACGCTTGTGAAACATCAGCAACTAGCGAGAATCCTACTACAGCGATGCCATTGGCATCAAGTCAACAACATCCATTTACAAACCTGCATGTTAATGACCAGCCTCGGGAATCCAACGAACCGAATCTGTCCTTTCAAAATTGTTCTGCAACTGACATTTCAAGATACTTGAATGATTCAACTCTGCTGACTGATGAAATAAAGTATTCCCTCGTACAAAACAGAAAACCAGTGGCAGATTACATATTTCCATCGCGCATTTACAAGGATAAACGTAGACGCAGTGGCATTATCCACAGACGATGTAACATGCAGCTCTTTGATACCTTTGATTTTATTACATACTCTGAATCAAAAGACGGATTATTTTGTCTCAGTTGCGTGCTTTTTCCGAACATGTCTCATAGACGACCCAAGAAACTAATTACAGAACCATATTTTAACTGGAAGGATGCACGTGAAGATTTGAAACAACATGCTGTTTGTGAGTATCATTTATCCTCAATGGCCCAATTACTTGCTTTTGTGAAAACACACACTGAACCAGGGCAAAGAATTGACATGTCAATTAGATCTACTGGAGCAGAGAGAATTGAGAAAAACAGAAAAATCATATCGTCGATCATAGAATCACTCATATTTTGTCGCAGACAGGGCATTTCTTTACGTGCCCACCGAGATGATGAAACTTGCAGAGAAGATTCTTTAAACATGGGAAATTTCAAAGGGCTACTCGCTTTTCGTGCATCTTGCGGAGACGAACTGCTGGACGAACATATGAAGACCTGTAAAAAGAATGCGACATACGTATCAAAACATCACAAAATGAACTACTCCTCTGTATTAAGAAGTTCATGCAAGATGAAATTGTGCAGGAGGTTCGACGTCAGCCAATAGGCCCATACTTTGGCTATCAGTGTGACGAGGTGACAGACGCCAGTAATTGGGAACAGCTCGGTGTGGTTATACATGTTGCCCATGGAAAAACCTATTGAACGGCTTATTGAATTTATAGAGTGTGAGGAGATCACTGGGATGGCCATTTGTGAATCCATTATCTCGTGTATGAATGCAGTTGGTCTGGATCCGAGTTATTGTCGTTCCCAAACAATGGATGGTGCTGGAAATATGGCCGGTAAACATTCCGGTTGTGCATCACGATTTAAAAACCAGTATCCCCTAGCTGTATATCATTACTGTAGCTGTCATGATCTGAATCTCGCCATCAGTAAAAGTTGTTCGTTGAAAGAAGTGCAGATATGCTTAGACACACTAAAGAAGCTGGGTATATTCTTTAAATATTCACCAAAGCGCACACGAAGGCTGGAAAAGGCTTTTGATGAAGTCAACGAAGAGAGAACTGAAAACAAAATTGACAGGAAGAAGTTTAAAGTGTTTTCAGAGACCAGATGGGTTGAGAAACACAACACCCTGCAAACATTTCAAGATATGTATAAGCCAATTTTGCTCTGTTTAGAAGCGATTTCGTTAAGAGAAAGAAACTGGGATTCAAAGGCGGTTGTGGAAGCAAATGGTCTTCTAGCGAAATTGTCAGATCCACAATTTATTGCCTCATTTCAAACAATCCGGAATTTCTTTGGATACATGTCTAGACTCAGCAAGAAATTACAGGGAAGCACCTTGGATGTGTTGGAGGGATACAGAATGGTGGCACATGTGCGCGAAGTAATATCAGGCTTGAGGTTGAACAATGAGGAGTATGACAGTGTATACGAAAGGATGGAGGAGATGGCTCGATTAGCAGATGGTGCCATGACTGTCCCTCGTCAATGCTTGAGGCAAACTGAAAGAAGCAACGTTCCTGCGTCATCAGCAAAAGAGTATTTCAAGCGAAATACCTACATTCCCTATTTGGATTCTTTAATCCAACAGCTCGACCTTCGGTTTTCAACCTTGGCTCAACAAAGTGCACAAGCATTGTGTCTGGTGCCTTCAAATCTCTCTCGTCTAAACCAGGAAGTTTTACATGCTATAGAAGCCAGCTTTGGACCGGACATGCCAGACCGATCTTCATTTCCACAAGAGCTGAACTTATGGAAGCAAATATGGAGCCGTCAAACTGATCCTCCAGACACGCTTTCAGGCACACTACTGGACGACAGAACATGCCGGACAATGTTCCCGAATGTCACCAAAGTTATCCATCTGTTACTTTTGACGTCTGTAACCTCAAGTTCTGTGGAGCGTGCCAATTCGTCTTTACGCTTCATTAAGAGCTATCTACGCACTACGATGGGTGGGGAGCCATTCAACGCCCTTATGCTTTTATTTATACATAGGGACATCCAGGTTGACATTAGTAAAATCATTGATATTTTTGTTTCACGGAATCCAAGACGTATGCTGCTTGAAAACCCCACTGGTGATTAAGGTATCCGACCCATATTAGGACCTAATTTTCTAACCTTAAATATCAGTCGTGTTTAAAAAAACTATGATATTATTTCAAAGCACTTTGGAATAGAAAAAGATTTACCAAGAGAAATTTTCTACAAAAAAATACTACCTAAGCAGTTATTAATCTCTGAAGATTGCATTGAATTCTATGGAAAAAAGTAATTTTTTAAAATTTAAGAATTAAATACTTAGAATATCAATAAATGCTATGATGGAAAGATGTATTTGATCATAAGGAATAGAAAAACAATTAAAAACTATTATTTCACTAGATAGATTTTTTAGAATTGATTTTTATTGAATAAAATCAAAGGGAGATAACTCTTCAAGGACAGGACAAGGTCAAAAATTAGGGCACGTTCTGCTCTTACATACTGATTCTAAAACAAAAAAATTATGTTTAAATATACTGAGTACTCAGCCCATACATATCTGTTATGCATTCAATTCCATTGAATCTGAGGCTAATATGGGCCGGATACCTTAAGGAGGCTGGGGGGTCAACAAATTAACCATCAGATATAACTTAATTTTTTAGATATGATATCTTAAGCTGTCAACTATCATTTGGCAAACAAAAATTTCATACATTTTAGTTTTAAAATTTGATTTTTGTATATCTTTATATGGAGCTCTTCTTCTAAAGAAGATCAATATAGTCTGAAAATGGCCATAACCACCCAGCCCTCTTAAATGACAATGTACTTTGAAAAACAGTCTGATTTTTGTGACTTCTTGTATATCTAGGTAAAATGCTATTTTTAAAATCTGATCTTGTTTATTCGTTGTTTTTTTAGTTTGTGTGTGTGTGTGTGTGTGTTTCTTTTAAGGAGGCTGGGGGTCAACAAATTAGGCATCAATATAACTTAATTTTTTAGATATGATATCTTAAGCTGTCAACTATCATTTGGCAAACAAAAATTTCATACATTTTAGTTTTAAAATTTGATCATTTTTGTATATCTTTATATGGAGCTCTTCTTCTCTAGAAGATCAATATAGTCTGAAAATGACCACAACCACCCAGCCCTCTTAAAAAGTGAAATATCATAGTGTAAATACCACTATTTTTGTGCCTGGTTTTACTCTTAATATGCACGAAAACCCAGGAGGCTTTGCCCTGGACCCACTGGGGGCCTTAAGGCGGCCCCCAGACCCCCTGCCTGAACAAAGTTATCCACGCCCCCCTAATCACAAATCCTGTATCCGCCCATGCAATTCAGTTTCACTCTCAGCAAAAAGATCTTTATTAGCAATTAACAATTCTGAAATTCTCTTTTTATTCTCTTCTGGTACATCGATTTGACCTAAGTTAATTTGACTCGAATGTTTTCTCGATTATATTAATGGAAGCGATTGTTGATTTATTTACATTATCTGCTGTACCAATCGGGCAGCCTCGTTTAATTTTAATTGTTTTATTGGTGTTATTTACAATTAAAATTGGCAATCTGTTGTTATTTTTAACTTTTGTTAAAGAATTGCTTATCATTAGCCCTGGTTCGTCTCCCACAAAACTATTATCAAGAGATGAGACTTCAACTAAGCCATCATTTGTAACAAAACTTCTTTTCAGTTTTCCATAACAAACATGCGCAGTTTGAGGTTTGTTTACAGATTTTCTAGTTGCTCTTACAATTGCAGTGATATGAATATCTTCTTGAAATGGAATGTATGTTTTCCCTAGTCTAAAAGACCCTAAATCATAGTATAAGCATACACCATTCTTGATCAACCAATCGCGCCCAAATTTGACATTCTTATTCATTTCTTCAATGGTCGATACAAATCATGCCACCAACTTGAAAACTGACATTTGCTTTTCCTTTGATTTTCAATGCATCACCATTTACAGATTGTAAATTGACTCTTTCTTTTGATAAATGTGGAATGTTACGAAAGAACCTAAAAACTTTTGAATGAATCGATGAGACTTCTGCACCAGAATCTATAAGTGCGCGAAATTTCTGACCGTTAATCTTAATAATACAAGAATTAGGATTTCCTGCAATATTAATTTTGAAATTTGGAATGTTTTTATTCTTTGATTCATGCAAATGTTTACTCCTTACAATGGCCCTATTTTGAAAGAAGTTTACTCTTTTAACTGATCTTTAGTTTGCTATTTACAATTTCGTTTAATGTGTCCTTTCTTTCCACAATTCCAACATTCAACACTCTGATAGTTTGTTGCTCGATTTACAGAATAAATACTTTTTCTCTTTGGTATCGTTTTTGAAGGGCGTTTAGATCTATAATGGTCAACTTCCATGGGTATATGGGTTTGCCTACCCGACCTGAGTTCGAATCGCTTATACAGGTTTTGTTCAGCCATTGCGCAGTTTATAGCTGCTTGCAGAGTTGCAGGGTTTTCACGCATAACCTTGAATTTCAATTTGTCTTGTAATAAGCCATCAACAAATATTCCAATCAATTGACGTTCAACTGAAGGTCCTCCTTCAAGACCTTTATATGCTTCTTCAGCCAATGACAATAATCGTTCAGCGTAAATCTGAACATTTTCTTCGGGTTTTTTGATGAACTTTTTTTAATAGCATGAATGCATGTTCAGGATCTGTTACTTCAGCAAAGCTTGTGGATAACTCATTCTTCAAATCATTCCAGGTTCCCTCTGGGTTATTCGTGAGACTTCGTTGAATAAAGTCTGAAACTGCCCCACGACTAGCCACAATTTTGACTTTTTCATCCGTTAGTTTGTTCATGAAAGAATATTTTTCAATTGATTTTATCCAGTGAAATATATGGAGATAACGAACAGTATTCAAGCTCCAAAGTCCATTAATCAATACAAAATAGGAGCAGAGCAAACACAGACCTCCAAACATCAGAGGTGGGAACAGGTGCAATGGAGGAGTGAGCATCCCCTGCCGACCGGTCACACCCGCCGTGTGCTCCTTGTCATGATCGGGAAATAACGGAAAAATCCGTCGACAATTCAGTGTGTAAATAATGGCCTAACAATTAGTGTGAAAAACGTCAGTCAGCATTTGACTCAATGATAAATTGTATTTGCTGACAAGGTCATTGTATCGACCATAGAACTTACGAAATGATGACTTTAAACGAGACAGCTGATATTCTTGCTTCATCAACTTATTTGTCAATAATTTACCTCGTTTTAGAAATTGTACATACGCAGAGCATGCTCTTGCGTATCGAATCAACTGAGAGATATATACCCCGTATGCAGGTGATGAAGGTATATTGCTGCATAAGTAAGGGAAGTTGACGATTGAAAAGTTAAAGTCATCACGTTTATCATAAAGCTTGGTTGTTCGATTACCATTAACGTTTTTTTCAAGTAAAATATCCAAATATGAAACAGATGTGTCAGACTCTGTGGTATCTTTTATCTCAAGTTCACAAGGATATATCGTATCGACATAAGAATGGAAATAGCCATTGTTAATTGACAATACGTCGTCGATATATGTAAATGTCTAGTTGAAGGCCACAGCAAGTGTTTTCTTCTTTTCACGTACAAGATTTTGGAAAAATTCTGCTTCATATGAATACAAAAAAAGGTCTGCTAATAACGGGGCGCAATTGGTACCTATGGGAATTCCAATAGATTGTTGGAATTTGCTAGGATCCCCCTCATATGGTGTTATTACATTTGAAATCCCATTGGTACCAATTGCATTTGATAAGCCTTTAACTGTAGAATCAAGGCAATCAAATTTAGTTTCTAATACAGTCGACAAGGTCTTAAAGGCACCTCCCAAGTCAAAACCATTCCCAATGTCTTGGTTGTCCATACTTAAAAAAAATCAAGGTATAATAAAACTGTTACTTACAGTAGTCTTGAATGTCTGTCCCTTTCCAGCGTTGAGAGACTTCCCGTTCTGCGTCCTGGTCCACGGCACCAATTAATCCGTTATATAACGCAATTAATCAATGTGTTTGGTTTAAGAAGACTTTTGTAAGTTTATGATTTTATTATAAAGTCACAGCAAAGGCAAAAGCAATGGTACATTAAAACAAAGTTCAATGGCTGTATGTCTCGGAGCCAAGATGGTGAAAGCTCACATATTCAGTCTTAGAGCTAAGATGTTAAAAGCTATTGATACTCAGTGCGCACATCCTTTTGTACAAGAAGCTGCATCATAGGGGTCACATATTTGGTAACAACAATTAGTTAGTTAGAGTGTCACTTCATTAATATTGATAAAGTCCGCCCCTCATTGAAGCTGTCTCATCTCGTTAAAGGATACGGCAATGTCCTCCGTTTACATTAACATTGTGTATCTTGCACATTCTTCAGTTAATTAGATGGTTGCAGCTTTGCACAAAGTCTGATTAGAAAGTGTCAATGTTCAAGAACAACACATCGTAAAAACTAATTGTCCGTCAAATGAAGACGCTCACTTGTTGTATCCAATCTCCCAGAGTTTGTAAACAAGTTCATATTTAAGAGATTATTGTCCGACGCTCTACACACTGATAGTATCATTTATAATTCAAAACACAATATTTAAAATATTAATAAACTCAATGTACAAACTTAATATATCAATTAAAATTATAATTTGTACGCTCATTGTGTTACAATATTCGAGAAGTGGTGTAAATCAGATGTGGATACTTAAAAACTCCAAGACACTTTTAGAAAATTAGAAATCCCAAAATTTTAATAAAAGCAATAACATGAAAACGTACGACTTTCCAACGCTTTATACAACTATTCCTCACAATAAATTAAAGTCCAGGCTTTTTGACATCACAGACAGTTGCTTTTTCAATAACAATGGGACTCGTAAATATACTTACCTTGTCATTGGTCATTTGCAAAATTATTTTCTCAAAATCCATTCTGATTGTACACACAAGTACTCTGAGGGTGGTTGATATTAAAAGATGCTTGAGTTTCTGATTGACAATATCTATTTTGTATTTTGCAGATCAGGTCTTCTAACAATTTGTTTGAATTTCCATGGGTATCAATGGCGCCC